AGGACAATAGACAGCCTGATTAATTTTGGGTTAAAATCTGTTCATATTAACTCTCTAATTAGCATAATAATTAATATTTTTTGGGTTCTAATCACATTTCAATGAAACTTGGTACATTGTGCAGACCTTATTAGTTTTACACTTAAATCTGTTCATATCAGTTACCTGATTTACATAATTAGTTTTCAGCTATTCCATCAATATCTCAAGTACAAGTAATTTTGAATTAATTTTTACTGTGTCTTCAATACTCTCAGCACACGGGAGTTCTTTCTAAGCTTTCTTTGATTCTGATTGATTTCAAAATTTCTGACTTTTTATTTTAAAAAAGTGCATCTTTTACGTGCCTGGACCGATCAAGTTCAAACTTCATGCATACGTCCGACATCATATCAGACAAACACATGAGCATTTTTGTCACCATCAAAAAATTGCTGGCTTACTGGCGACCACAGAGCCATATCTCATACAAGTTGATTGATACTTGAATATCACCAACAAGTTGCATTTTCTCATGACATTAACAATGACTTGTTAACATAATTGTATTTAATATTTTCAGGTATAGTCGATGCCTATCCACCACTTTGTGACATGAAGGGTTGCTATACCGCACAGTTTGAACACACCATATTGCTGAGACCAACTTGTAAAGAAGTAATCAGTCGTGGGGAAGACTACTGAACATAATTCGGATACCAATTATGCGCACAAGTCCTTGGCTTTGTTTTCTTTTTCATTTTGCAAAACATTTTCCAGGGCATTAATTTCTTTCTCATCATTTTAGTGTAATTGGAGATGTTATGAAGTGCGCCCTTACTGTCTTGTTTTCATTTTTCAGTGATTCAATTCAAAGGTGACATTAGCTGCAACTTTAACATTACACACAAATATTTATACATAATCTACTGATATTTCAAAGTGTGATGTCATCACTGACGAGTGATTCCTTTTACAACGGCCATACCTCTCAGTCTATAACAGGGAGTCAGAAGTCTAAGATGACGTCACGCATGAGAAATACCAGCAGATTATATATTTATATACACATGTATCATACTCATAGACCCTGGAATGTAGACAAATTTCGATTTTTATCAAATAAATTATGGGACTATTTGACTAATTCTTTGCCATAATATTTTGATGTCTAAACGCAAAAAGGTGTCATGCACTGTGTATTGAACACACAATCAAACACTACTGTCATGAATCTCCATGTTAGTAGCCCAGGATTTACCATATTTGACTGCATATTATTATTATTTAAGATAAATCAACGGGAATGTGCTGTCGTAGAGTTACACATTATAACTGGATGCTTTTATTTACAGAGTGGTATCACAGTTCTGTGCACTAACACTGCCACTGACTGCGTACTGCATGTCTGTTTGTCTCATAAATGATTTTGCTAACTATTGAGTAATAAAATAGTTATTATTCTCAGTTACACATCATCTTGTACTCTTAGCTAATTTACAGTTGTTATTATTTATGTTAGTGAAATTCTCTGAGAATTATACAAACAATCATACCAAGGAACCAGGTAAGCAAGCTGGTGGCACATGCTGGGGCAGGCATTAGAAAATTCTTGGCATACAGAAATGCATAAAATGATACAATATTGTAATTATATCAATAGTTTTACCCAGTGCGTCATGTTTTTGTTTTTTTGTTCCCCACATTTTGTACATATTTCACAACATTGCCAACTTGTTTACAGTAGTGGCAAACCTGACTGTAAACTCTGAAAGTAGTCTCATTCCATAATAAACGCATGTACACCACAGTGTGACATCACATCTAAATGATAACATGCCTATAGGATTAGATGCATTGTTAAAATAGAAAATGTTTTGAATTCAATTATATTTTCAAAAGAGTTTGATTTTTGTTGCTAAAATGATTCATGTTCTGATTTCAATACTGTATACTTGCATCAGTCACCTCAAATATCAATTACATTTTTTCTGATACAAAAACAAGGCTTTTAGTGCTGTATGAATAGACTTTAGATAGCTGTATTTATTGCAAGTCAAGTGCAGGAAAAGTTGCAGCATACATGTATGTCCCTAAATAGAGGATACCTTCAATACATTACTGGTAGGTTAGAAACATGCCATACTAACAGCCAGCATAATCTGTCATCTATGATGCACATGTTAACAGTGATGCATTGTTATAATATTATCTATAATGTTATCTGCTGCACTGCTGTAAATTAGGCTCAATTAACCCTTGTGTGCTCAAATAAGTATAAAGTAGACAGGGTTGAATATATTAGGGTTAAAGGTAAACTTAACATCAATGGCCTTGGTTATAGAAATTACAGTGCTTCCAGTAATTGACATGTACTTAGTTCCCATGTACAGCATCTTCTATTCCTCAATCTTTTATTCTGTAATTTGATGAGTTACATTTCAGTTTTTATTCAGGACACCTTCAAAAATCACTTTTTCACCCAAGTTAAACCGTTAAAACAGTTTTGCCTATGTTGTACTTTACAATAAATTGTTTCCTCTGGATTAATGACACACATTGACATTTCAATGTAAATGAAAAAACAAATGAATTCATAACTCAGGGTTCTTCTCTTGCTTTACTGATAAAACATCATTGTACTGTGTATGCGAGAGTTATGTGTTTATGGTATTCGTATATACTTAAACCAGTGATCATTTAATGAGAAAACATTTTGTTGTAGTGCAACATTTAAAAATGTTGTGGCACCAAATACGTAAGCATATGGTGTAACAAGACGTATATTACTGATAATAGCTGGAAAATAATTTTTTGCATTGATCAAAAATTTATTTTCTGTCTAGGTGCTGGTTGCATATGAGTAGCCAGCTGTTTAGGTGCTGGTTGCATATATCAGTAGCCAGCTGTCCAGGTGCTGGTTGCATATGAGTAGCCAGCTGTCTAGGTGCTGGTTGCATATATCAGTAGCCAGCTGTCTGCGTGCTAGTTGTATAGAGTAGCCAGCTGTCCAGGTGCTGGTTGCATATGAGTAGCCAGCTGTTTAGGTGCTGGTTGCATATATCAGTAGCCAGCTGTCCAGGTGCTGGTTGCATATGAGTAGCCAGCTGTCTAGGTGCTGGTTGCATATATCAGTAGCCAGCTGTCTGCGTGCTGGTTGTATCCGAGTAACCAGCAGTCCAGGTGCTGGTTGCATACAAGTAGCCAGCTGTCTAGGTGCTGGTTGCATATATCAGTAGCCAGCTGTCTAGGTGCTGGTTGTATCCGAGTAACCAGCAGTCCAGGTGCTGGTTGCATACAAGTAGCCAGCTGTCTAGGTGCTGGTTGCATGTGAGTAGCCAGCTGTCTAGGTGCTGGTTGCATATATCAGTAGCCAGCTGTCTAGGTGCTGGTTGTATCCGAGTAACCAGCAGTCCAGGTGCTGGTTGCATACAAGTAGCCAGCTGTCTAGGTGCTGGTTGCATGTGAGTAGCCAGCTGTCTAGGTGCTGGTTGCATATATCAGTACCCAGCTGTCTAGGTGCTGGTTGTATACGAGTAGAATGATCATCATTTTACCTTGTGTTCATTTGATACCACCAAGGTTATTTTGGGTTACCCAGATTAAAATAATAATGCAGCTGATGACTCTGTGATGCACAGTAAGGACTAAACATCGAGGAACTTTAAATCACATTTCAAGTATATTTGTTATGTTTGTTCAATAACTTCAGAAAAAGATCTTGTTACCAGAGATGATGTGTAATTATAAAAATAAAATTTGAATGGATGTAAAACATCACAATTATTCTCGTGTAATGTGCAAATTATTGGAATCTATAAACTATGCATTCAAGTAAACTGTTGCAAAGACACAAGGAACATGCTACAACTTGCATGTTAATGTAAATTAGCTATTTAGTATGTTTGATTTTCACCCAATTCAGGTCTGGAGACATTTGTGTCATTATAATCACACCTTTGCAATAAGGCAAGTGACTTTGGGTCAGTGTATAAAATACAATGTGTAACATGGGTTATACCAATCTTTGCCTTGTGCTTATTATCCCAAGTATGTTTAGTTTTTATTCATCATTCCTTGTCAGCATTCACTCTACTTTTGCGATATAACTCTGTCATCGTGCCCCTACATTAATGTTAATGAGAATTAAGAGCTAACTTTGTACCCCTACATGTAAGTTAAAAAGAATTAACAGCCACCTTTTGGAACTTGGCGTTCGGCACCTGTTATAAAGCTGTTAATGTTAAGGCATCTAGGCACTCTAGGCTATCATTATGTGTTGCTATAATCTTGAATCTTCATTCTTCCCATTCTAGTATCAGCTTGTGTAAAAAAATCCTAATTACTGAGACCTGAATTAGAATAAGCAACAAAGTAAATCGTGCAATACCAATTACAAATAAATAACTATTAACGGAAAGTGATTAAATTGCATGCCCACTTTGTATTATATTCAGAACACCTATGAATATCACTATGTGAAATAATATAATTGGTTTGTTTGGAACAAATCATGTATGGTAATACTAAAGCTAGCATGCACTCTGAACTGTTATGATACACAACATAATCAACTAAGTTTAGTTATCAAGAAGACAATTTACAAAGACAGTGGATCTATTTTAACTATAAGGTAACTTGTTTTAAACCGCGCTCCTGATCAAATAAATATTTTATATGTACAATATTTCCACAAATTGCATTTGTTGTATATTAAATAAATATGCTTTACTAATAAGTAAATAGTTTATGCTATGTACAGTCGATTTATCACATTTGTTCATTTCATGACAATATCATTAGGGTTTCGAGCCCTATGGGGCGAAACCCTATTGTAATTGCTATGTTTATTATTATTCCGCCGTTTTTTGTAAGCGCTGTAACTTGAAAAATAATGCTGCGATTGATTTGCCATTTTGCATGCTGATAAAGCGCCATGAGTTGTGGTGCATACCCCAAAACCAGCTATGTAGGTCACATGACCTGGCCGCCATCTTAGGTAGAACACAAACCGAAAGTGCTCAATTGCACCACTTTCTGAGGGTCTAGGAACTTCCGTTTTTTTTGTGCAGCATCATTGGCTCATGTCTAGCAAATATCAGCAATAAAATCTTTAGCGGTCATGTGACCTTGGCCACCATATTGGATTTTCTGAAAATTGACAAAAAACTTAAAAAATCTCCTTCTTAAAAATGGCTCATTCATGTGATTAGAAATTTGCTTTGCAGCACCTATGGCCATAGCTCTACAAAGTTTCTGAAGCAGATTTGTGAAAAATAGCTTCCTTTGGCAGCCATATTGGATTTAGGAAAAAGTGAAATCACGCTATAACTCATGAACAATTTGCCTGATTTAAACCAAAGTTGGCATACAACATCCATTCAATAAGATGATTATGTGTTCATGAAAATATTTCCCATGATTCAAGTGGTTTTGAATTTATCACAAAAATGCAAAAAAAACTCAAAAAATTATCTTCATAAAGACTACCCGCTTGTTTGACAATCAATTTAGCATATAGTATCTCTGTTGAGATACTATATGCAATCAATCAAGCAAGTGCAATTTACCATTAGCCACGCAGGCTCGAAACCCGTCATCGCTGCTATGCAGCTATATTTGATTTTATAATTTGAATTTTTTGTAGAATAAGCATATACAAGGTCTGGGTATCAATAAAAACTTTGGAGACACAAGCAGAAAAATGAGTTTCAGATCAAATATGCAGATACTATCTATTTGTACGCAGTGACAAACGTCAACATGAGTTTATCCTTGGTGCTGTGTCTGTCCACTCTGTCATTTGAAACTAACTGGTTAATTATATGATCAACTCGACCAGGTTTATAATAGTAATCAACAGTGCCAACCAACCAATACACAACAAGTATTAGACTAACATAAAAACACAACTCTACTAACTTAAATAACATATCTGAGAAGTTAGCTTGTGAGACCTAATAAATTGTTTGAAACTTAACCAATGACATTTGCATTTAGATACATGTACTTTCTCTGTTTCATTGTTGATTTACTGAACTTGGTATGGTGTAATTGTCGGTCATAATGCATTCAGTTTTTGATCTAAATAGAATTGAATACCAGTTTACATGAAAATTATATGGTTATTAGTAAATATTTACAACAATAACTATTACAGGACAATCAATTAAGGTAGAGATGCAGTTTACCTGACAGGTATTTTAATTAGTTAATTAGGCAACCAAGATTACCTCCCTTGTCCACAAAACTATATATTTTTGGAAAGCTTATTGTATGAATTTTAAAATTTTGTTAGTATTTTTTTTATGGACACTGTAGTTTGAAATATGCACAAAAATGTGATTTTTTGGTCAAAAGTGATTTAAAAAAAATTAGCTTCTAAACCATGCTTCTGTTTCCTGTCAAAATTGGTTTATGGGTACATCTGTTTACTATGAATAAAGTTCCGTCTTGATAACTGTCTACCAGTTGTCAATTTTGCAGGGCAGCAGCT